AAGTTAAAAAATTTAAAAAAAAGTTTAAATGATGATAAATGATGTCTTTCAATATTTAATAATTAATTTTTAATATTTAGCGTCACTATTATAACTCTAATCCTACTATAAATAATTTATTAAAGTTGTTCGCAGTGTGAGTAAGTGAATAATAACGTCAATCATAATTCTTCCTCTTCGTGCAGCTACCTACGCAGTTAAGCATCACGGGCGCAATTAATTGCGGCGAACGTTGTATGGGAACAACGCGCATGACTCTTATCAATGACACTTATTCAACAATGCTTCTAATTAATATCCTCACGTGCTTCCTTTAGCGGAATATTAATAGTTGGCGGTCGTCCCTATAACAATTGTCACCTTGCCAACAATAAAACCAATTTTATTCTAAATTGTTTTATTTATTTTTTGCCTCTGCGGTTTGTACTCTATGTGCTCAAACTATCAATTCACAAATAAATGAGTTTCTCCTTTTGTAATTTTTTAATGTTTAATTTATTCTGCGGTTTTGCATGGAGCAAAATTGGTTGATTCATTACTCGCCACTTTTCTGCTTCGATCATTCCAACAGTCAATCACAATATTACCATGTTAATTTTTGTTGGTTGTTGTTATTGTTTCAGTTTTCTAGATCAAGGACGAGTTGATCGCGGGTTCACAATCAAGCGTGGATAATCGATCAAGGATAACCAACCGAGTGAACAAGGTTCGATTGCATCCTAATTTTTTGCATTAGTCAACCAGTTCCGGTTTAGTTTTATCCAAAAATGATTATAAACAAGTTAATTATTTCATTAATATTTTTTAGTTTAATATAATTAAATTGTGAGCAAGTGAAAATCGAATAAATACATTTTACGATTGCTATAATGAATAAAAACGTAATTACTGGACATTTTATTATCCCCTGAGACTACGAACATTCTATTACCCATCGAGACAAAGAATCAGAGGTGAAAACAATAAGGAACCATTTAGAAATGCATAAGATTTTCACTCTCTCATTGGATGTGATTGTACATCAAAAAATTTCCTCATTATTGTACATTACCTTTGAATTCGAATCGATTTTCACGCCAAATTCGTCTCGACAATGCCAAAAGCCGACAAGCGACCACGACAAGCCAGCAGAACATCTGTCAATAATACCCAGTAATAATGTGATAGTAAAAGTTAGCATTAAGAAAGTTGCTGTCGCATAATTAACTCATTAGAAAATGTAGAAGCAATTGATTTCTTTTAGGCTTCTATTTTTTGATATATGTATAAACTAATGGAAATATAAACATGACATTTGTTAGTAATTAGATATGTGAAATCATTTTCTCATCTTTTACCACGCAGAAAGACATTTATTTGCGCAGTATTACTCGAGGTTTGTTGGATTTCTTCAGTTTTGTTGATTTGGGACAATTATCAAGCTGTTTCTGGTTTTGGCCAGTTTTATTCGCTGGTTTTCATTTGCTGGCAGACAAATTTCAACCTATGTTTCTTGTGCAATTTAAACCAGTAAAAACACAAACTTTTTTCACATTTTAAAAATTTTAGTTTTAAAATCAATCATAACTATGGAAATATTGGAAAACTCGTCAAATGGTTTCATTAGCATTAATTAAACTGCAATCTATTTTTGTCTAGACATGCCAAATGTTCACTATTAACATGAAAATAAAATATTTGAATGACATATTTTGAACATATTTGAAATTAATAAATTGTGTTCATTAAATCAAACAAATCCTATTTTCTTATTACTTCTGGTAAATGCAGAAACTAAGATTATTGTGCACTTTCAAGTACATTCGCGTACTTGCTCATAGACAACGTTGCGAAATTGTGAAACTAAAATGAATTCATTACCATTAAAGCAATCAGTTCCACTCTATTCCACCAATCGGGAATTCTTGAAGTAGTTAAACTACAGCTCAACGAGAATATTATGATAAATATCTATAGTATCTAGTAATATTGACATAATAAGAAATCGATTACATGCGATTACGTTCAATAAAATAAATTTATCATAAAAAATTGTAAATCACAAAAACTTGATAGTATACTCGAAATATTGATCAGACACCAGGCAGTTTTAAAAACTGGTTCATTTGTTTGCTCCGAACTTGTAAACAGAAGTTGTTGACTCATCAACACCCGGTTTTGAACACCTACAAGTAAGTCACTTATAAAATTCCATAAAGTCGCCAAAAATGCTTTTTATATTGAAATGGAAAAGTTTATGTTAATTTTATTATGGTATGAATTTCATTTTCAATCACCGTAATCGTCAAGTGTTATTCTATATTTTAGCTTTATTGATACTCCGAGTAACCTTGATCCAATTATTAAATCACGCAGAAATTAAAAAAAAAAACATATAACAAGAAAGATAAAATTATGCGATTTTAATTGAAATAGATGCATCAATATCAACTTTCAAAATAATAAATAATATCATAAAAATTGTGATTGCTAGCTATATTACACGTATATTTGTTGATTTTTTTGTAGAATTGCAAGTATTTCGCGCAAATTCGTCACATGTAAACATTCTTTTGGTAAAAGTTTAAAATTTTCCAATGGAGCACCTCAGCTAGATAAGTCACCACACACACACTTTGAAATTCTCTCTTAATTGGGTTATGCTTGGTGAATCTAAAATTTTTGCGGTGCACAAAAGTCGACTTTAAATTACTGTGTTGAAAAAATTCCACTTTAGTAAGATGGCCTTGATATCGACATTATTGTGCATGTTTTAGGTTAATCTGCTTCTATAACTAATAATTCAATCGTTTTAACTTTTCTTACCACTTGTATTCTTCAAATCTGCCTCAAAATTACATAATATCATCGGTACTAACAGTAAAATGTCATTGAATATATTTATATTAACAATACTGTCTTTTTCAGCCTGAGATATTTATGCATTGTTTTTATTGCTTTCTATATCGAAAGTAATATTTTCAAATTAGATCAAACACTTTTAGTTAATAACTCACTTTAACACGATACTAATACTTAATATCTTAATGACGCATAATTAACATGTAATTGGGACATCGTCGTGCGTCCGTAAGAAATAAGTAAACATCACACTAATTAATTGCGCGTTAAACTTTGTTTCTATTCAATAATTAAAACAAAATCTAAATTAATTACTACACTATTCCACATAATATAACTAAAACTTCATATTAAAAATTAAAGTAATACGAGTTTAGTTTAGATTAATTCTGATATGTACTACGCCCGTCGACGAATTAACTTGAGTCAACAAATTTTACACATCGAATAGTCATCTCTCGCTAGTCTATCTCTTAAGTGCTTTATAAATGAGATCGCTCTTCCTGTTTGTCTGTTTTTATCGCGTACGAAAACAAATTATCAAATCAGACTCAAAAGTTATCGCCGCATGAGTCTCACGACTCAAATATAAACTAATAACAGTAAAAACCTTGATAGATTTTGTGGAAAACACAAACATTATTTTTGAACTCGTTACGATTCCGAAAAAGTCTATAAAACGGAAACAAAATTACTTTGAGTAAAATTTAAACAATATACCGTTAGAAATAGTTATTAATGACTTACTACGCACAAAATACTGCAAGTCTGCTTCGTATTAGAGGATTATTGTGTAGATAAAACAAAAACAACAATGTGATCACACCGATGATGACCTACACTCTCCATGACGCGATAATGTAGTGATAAATATTCCGTATGAGTACTAACTTCGTTCATAACAAGTTCTTGAAGTTCTCCAAGGTTCGCATGCTTAAATATCGGGTTGCTTCAACTTTTAAGTTGGATCACAATTATGCAAACGAGAGTATTAAGAAAATATCGATTTCGACTTGTCGAAGTCAACTTTACCTGACTTCAGTTAAGTAACCAACACTTTGAATTAACTTAAACCTGATAATGCTTACAATCCATTCAAAATGTACCTTTTATTATTTGTCTTGAAATAATTTCGTGTGTGTACTCGATGCGAAATACCTGCTGACCTTTCTTGCGACGATTTTCCCACTCGATGATAATTCGTCACGTTCGATTATTTATTTATTATTTATGTTCCATCGTGATGTACTTGAGCAATGCGGCGAAAATACTCGTTTCCTTGTGCGCTGGTCGCGAATGGAAGCCCGGATGGAAACTCGCACCGCGTAGGTGCAACATTTTACACATAAATTAACTTATTAACCGATCACTTCTAGTACTTGCATATGCGGACTTAAGTCATGTCGGGAGAATCGTGGTTTGCCTGACATTGAATTTTATCGACCTCTAGCAACAACGTTCCTTCAATTGGTAGTGTAATACTGATACAATGACCAACATAAATATATGAATTTATTTAATTATCTTATACTTAAACAATGTTGAAATCACTTTCGATATCTGGTCAGTTGACATTTGGGAATTTCGCAGTGTTTCGACATGTTTGCAAACTTTAAAAGGACATCTTGCTTAACTTGTGTCAAAAATTGCCGAAAATGTCGATGACCCGTTGACATATGAAAACAATTTTAACGCATTTCTTCGAAAGTTAACCAACAAGTTAACATTTGCCGGATTTTGATGAAATCTGACATTTACTTTTTTAATAAATTTGAAGATGTTAACAATTTATTAAGAAATATCATCAGTTTCTTCATTTTTTTATGAATTAAAATTAAATTAAAACAACGAAATTTATTAATACTAAAGAAACATAAATGTTTATTATTTTTTTGTTTTAACTTCCGAGCGAACTATACGAGGAGAAAAGTACGGTTTCGTATCAGCTTCCGAGTCAACATCTGATCCGGTACAAGAACATATGTTCAACGTGTTCAAAGCCACATATGAACTTTTTAATCTTTCCACATTCATTCGTCATTCCTCGGAAACCTGAATTACCTTCCGCGCCAAGGTAAAGTACCCGGCATGGCTATTATCAAGGCTAGAGGCCTTTTAAATATCACATACTAATAAACTGATACACGAGAAAAACTCACCATCTTCGACGTGAGTTCCGTGCGCCAGGTGGTGGAGCTGCGCGTAGTAGTGATGGTGATGTAAAATGCATTCCAAGTTTGTGCAGTTCAACATGTTTCCGTATTTTCCTTATTTTTTTTTTAATCAAGCACCGAACATATACACTTAACATCCAGTACACAGCACACTTCAAAATTCAAATTAAGTCAAATCCGTACTAAAATGACTTAAGTCAACCTAGACTTGAAGTGAGTGTTTTATTTAGTGTTTTATGGTCGCTCCACGTGTCGCTCAATGTTAATTTTTTTTCTTATATTTAACAAACGGCTTCCTCTTGCTGGATAACATTTATATTTGCATTATTTCCAACGTGCGACGCTTGGAAATGTGTAGTGTTTATATTGGAAACGGTAAACGTCCCAAGAAATGTTCCAACAAGTCGTGCACTTGATTTGTTAAGACACTTATCGAGATATATTTTTAACCGTACGTTGTAAAAGTAACTGTCACTGCTGTTAGAGCGTCCGCACTCTTATCAGTCGAGGGTTCACTCCGATCGACCACATGCACTGAAATTACTACTACCACAATTGAATGCAAGCGTAAACATGAACATCCAAAATCCACGTTGTTGTGCTGTTTGCGTTCGCTTCAGTTGCGCGATGGTTTAAGCACGATTTTTCACTCACCTAATTAAACTATTGATTAGCGCGCAGTCGGATAGATTGGTCACGGTAATAAACAAATTAAAAACTGAAAATGTCAGCCGGCGAGCGAGACACGCGCACACCGCCAGCGTTGGATCGGGCCGGAGTGCGGCAGCGCGCATGCGAGCCGCAATCGCACGCTGCTTGCGGCCCACCGACGGGGAAGGGGCCCACTTTCTAAGTCAACTTAACGCATGCCGAGCCCCGCACAAGAATGGATGGAACAAGTGTATGCACATTATACCAAGAGGTACCAATAATATGTAATTATAGATATTTGCTAAAAACTCAAAAATCAAAATTCAATAAAAAAATGATTTTTAAACAATCGAATCTTTTATCACACGTGGTCTATCCTAAAATTGTAATTCCCCGTATTTTTAAACAATATTTGAAGAATTTAATCAAATTATCACATTGTTTGTTGATTTCCAATGTAAAATTAATCTCGTATTTCAAAGTTTGAAAATATTATTTCAAAATATAATTGGCGCGCTGATTAGGTAGTAGATTTCTATTGCTCCACTTATTGAAACACTGTATATATACACTGTCAGTCAACATCGTCAGTCATTAAACATTACGTTGCACGTCATGTTCGTATTACGAATGTAGCTGCCAGCTCTCTTCTGACCATGTCAGACAGTCCAACAGACAGACAGTCGTCGATTGTCACAAATTCTCTTCACCTATACCCACATTAAATAAGCACTTTACTCTCGGCGAATTTTAGCAACCACAATTACGAAATGTAAGAATGTTAGTGTTTTAAGAATTATAAAAAACTATTAGAACATTGGGTTTGTGAGTATTTCTCTTAGGATCTGCCGATGTTGATATCCATTATGGCCAAGTAACTACTTCTACTTCTTCTGTAAGTTGTATTAGTTTTTGGTCAGCGGTGGCTTTCATTTCATCGATCAAATTCGAGAGCAACGCTTCAACTTTAACATCCGACGCTAATCATATGAAGAGTGAAGAGAACGTAATAGCCGAATGGGTTTAAAAATGTAGATGTAGATCATGAATGAGCGTGTATTAACCTTAAGTAGACGCTGTAAAAACACAAAGACGTCAAACATCAATTTTAGTTCATTAGAGTCACGATATAAAAAGATAGATTTTTAACGGTTGAATCTTAAATGAACTATTAATGAGTTGTAGAGTGTAGAGGATGACAAGATTACGTATGATAGGTGATAGACGAAATAGAAATTTAAAAGATTAATGCGTTTTGGAATTTTGATTTAAATACGCACTTGACCGGTCAATTTTTAATCAAATATGCAGATATCTATACACAATATTTCCTGGAGTTTATTCAAATAGTATTTAATATTCATTCCATTAAGTATCTAAAGGTTAAACGGGAGTTATAGACAAATGCGCAGGCGCAATCTTCACCCCGTGACTAAAAACCGTGACTAATGTATTTTAGTCATGACCATGGCCGTCCGTATTTAAAGTTCCACTTTTTGTGCTTCAAAACTTGCGCTTTAAATGAGGAAGTTAAAAAAAACGTTTAAATACGAATTTTACAACTTTCTTGAAAATTTTACTGCCATAACTTTCTACAATTAAAACTCCAGAAACTAAAATCATTAAATTTTGATAACACTATAAATTATTTTCAATAATTTAACTGCAGGTGATTCGCTGAGACACATCCTATTCATCTGCGCAATGAATGTAATAAAAAGTGTTTCACGAGATGAAATAAAATAATCTATGAAGTGTAATCGTGACACAAATTGCTGCTCACTTACTGCTCAATGGCATTAACATTAACATTGAAAATGCCAATTAACTAATCAAGTCGGTAATAAATGAAATCATAATGGAAGAACTTAAAGTTTTATTCGTTGTCGTGTCAACGTTTTTATTTATGCGTGAATATTTTAAATAACAGCATGGTTGCGGTTTTTTTCTTTTATAACATTAATAGTTGACTATTTGTTGGAGCAAAACGATAACGTGTAGTTTATTTCAACACTGTTACGCCGTACTAGTCGACGCAGTCATTGTTTTGTTCGCATATTCCAACATGTAAATGACTAACCCAGTCAAATCGGTGCTTGTATTTATTAGTACCTATTGAAAAGGATGCCTTGCCTCTTTTTCCAACGGCACAATCGCGAACGTCACTCTACGTTTACATGCACGCTTCGTTTACAATTTGCAGGCAAGGAGCAATATTCGACGAGTTGTGTGCTTATTACATATGCACGAATTCGTTCGAATTGTTTATTCGGGCGATTAGCATCGTAATTTATCGTATTTGTATGTCGCACGACAATCCGACGACGCTTTTCTAATTTCTACCTTGTAAAAATTTATTGAATGTTATAAAACCACCTGCCACGTAATAACATCAAATTAGTTCTTCAATGTTATGAAACAATCATTATTATAAAACACGAAAAACAAAAATTTTATTTATTTGTTTTTTTTTTTCATTTGGTTTTCATCTGAATTGATTAACATACGGAAACCTAAAATTTGAAAACTTTTGCTATTTGTACTTTTATCAAGATTTGAATTAAGATTTGATCTATTCCTCCTTCCTGCAGCTATAAAATGTGCAAATGACTTAGCTCGCAACCATTTTAGGAAGTTTAAAAATCAATCAAAAGTTATTTGAATAACTTTGATTTATTGATTTGTGACGCTAATGACAATTTTGTAGATCTAAGATATAATGGCTATATTAGCCGAGCTAGTTTGAGAAGTCGTTAAAAAATAAATAGTTGAATTGAATGCATACGTCTGTACGTAAATGACAAAGCCAAACTAGGAAATCGCATTATAACTGCATATTTTATTTCTATTTATATGAACTATTTTACCAACTGAATGGTTTCAGAGAAGAAACACTTATTTACTACAACTTAAAGTTTTTTACTACGTAAAATTTTTAAAGGACGTTGGCAAGTAATAATTGTTAGTTTCATTAGCATTTTGCTAGGAAACGAAGTATTATATGGTAAACATTTTAATATTTAAATTACTTGCGTCAATATCAAGATAAAATGAACGAAATTGTAAAATAAAAGTTTTTCTAAAGTATGGCTAAAGCTGTGACAAAAGTACTTTAGACACGGACTTTAGTCACATGGTGGAGGCGCCCTGTCATTTCCCTACGGTGCAGCACAACACTAAATAAAATGCCACGTGCCTCCAAACAAACAAGTCAAAGCAGCGCTTGCAGCTGCTGCAGTCACTAACATGTCTACTTCGAAATAAATAAAGAAAAGTGAAATTTAAAGAAGACTCTTCGTTTTATAATAAAAAAAGTAGCAGTACCTATATTGTTTTATTGCGTCGTATTTTTTGTTCAATGCTATACAACTAATTAATTCTTCTAAGTACAAAGTTGAAACTTTGTTCACTTACTGATACATAATTACATAGTTACTAGTTTCATTTTTGGCTATGAATAGATTAAATCAAAAAAATTGTGTAACTTCCTAAAATGGACTTCTACTTCAATCTTTTAATTGTATTCGCTTTTTTTTGTTATTTTCACTAAATGAAAGGAAACACCTAATTATATATACAACAGATTCATAAGTTTGCAGAGAACAATGATTTTATTGCACATTCGCTGGTTTTATTGATAAGTGAAGTTCATAAATAACTTTGCAATAATTAGAGCGATAAATCGTGCAGTCAAAATCCTGTCAAGCATTCCATTTTATTAATTGAATGTTAAAGCATAAAGTGAGGTATGAAATTAACAAAAGGTGCCAATTATTTTAATTGGCCACGGCTTCAATTACCTTCAATGTTCTGCACTTCATTTTACTCACTCAATTAACCACAATCGTTGTTTTAAAATTTTATATAGTAAAGTATTAAGAAAAGTAATGAAAGTTTGATTGAGCGGAACTGCAATCAAGGTTTTTAATTCAATCGCTTGATTGGATTATTGTCAAATAAAATAACAATACAATCCTCTGCCTTGCACAATGGCGAGGGACAGAATCATGGGAAATAACGTAACGTGTTCGTCAAGGTTGACAAGATCGAAAAATGCAGAGACCAATTTGAAACGGAAACTAAAAGGACGGAAACCGACAATCTAACACCGAACACTAACAAAAGTCAATGAATATTCATGCAGTTTATTTCTCTTTTCTATTTTTTTCTATGAACACTTATAGAAAACAGAGAGTGTTTTCCGTTCAAACGATTTTTTAATGTGTTGCTTTTTACGCGATATTTTTGCCAGTAATGTAGATCCACTTTAAACTTTAACATTTATGTAAAATTAATAATAATATTTGCATTATTTTAGTACTGAAGTCAATTTTTAACAAATCTAGGTATATATTTAGTTTTCAAAACTTTCTTTTCCTCCTGATTGATTAGGAGTGGAAACTCAGAATGTCAAATGCAAATCTAAAATCACAAAACGGATATTTGATAATATCTTCATAATAAAAATATCTAATAAACCGCCAAATAAAATTCTTATTCATTGACATAAATAACATTTACCCTAATTTATGACGCCAACACTGATCACATAATAATCCAGATCGTAATGCCAGCATTAACAAATTCGTATTTCACCTCAAACGTCTACACACCTATACCGATATTATCATAACGTGTTTCTTGGGCAAACTCCAATAGCCAATACGTAAAGATGCGCACATCGATGCTTAAAAATACTAGTTTATCAGCCGGCAGACAATGACATATTTACTAATCAAGCATAAGCGCGAAATTCTTACAAACCTTGGTTTTCTCGTTTTCGATTATCAACATAGGCTCGTGGATTAATGATTGAATGCTGGAGATATGAATTTAAGAGTATACTAGTCGTAATCATTGAATTCCGCTGGCTCCTTATGCCGTTAACTTTTAAAATAAATGCGAATATTTAAAATAAAAATAGCGTGCCACATATTTAAAAAACTACGCGAACTTATACAGCGTGCAGAGTTGAAAAGGCACTTAATCTCCAAGAGTACGAGTACAATATATTCACTTTGGCGCGCGGTATATTTTCTATAATTGCGCAATCAGTTTCACCAATCGCGACTTTGAATCATATCGCTATTAGTAAAGCCGAGTCCGCCTTCAGTTTTGTAGTCAATGTTTGTTGTTTTACGTTTCCGATGACATATTGAAATCGTGTTTGGGCTCACCTCAATTATACTTAGTTAATTTTAAATAAAAATCTCTCTCTACTGCATGTATATAACTATAACTTATTTTTTTATATATACAAGGCTTAGCAAATTTAAATTACACAAAAACTGTAGATTGAAATAGAATTTTAAATCTTTACAGATACTAATTTTTACTCATGATTTATACTTATTAGCAATTTAAAATACTATTATATGTGTTAATTCAGTATTCATTATCATGTATATGATAAACAATATATATACTATTATATATATATTCGCTAATCATTTTCTCTATATATCTATAATCACTCAATCAAAACAGCGAAAAACTATTACCGTAATCAAGTCTCTATACTACCAATATCAAGTTTTAATTTTTTAACGTTAGGAAGTAAGTGTAAGGCGACACAATGTCTGCCGCGATATAAGTTTGGCCCTCGCGCTCGTGCTTTATTTATTCCACTGTCAGATGTTTCATTTACTTTAATTTATGGCTTTCGGGAAGTGAAGCAACTCGTTGAGTCGACATTTAAATTGGGTGCATGTGCATTCCAATAAAATATCAGGCTACACAATGAAGTTAATGCTAAAAAACAAGTTTTTATGACTTACAATTTACCGGTAAAACTTCTAATTTGTATATTTGACACCGACCTGTTTCAAAAAACTTACGATAAAAACAGCAAAACCACAATTTCTCTTCTCATTTTTTACCTGTGAGTTAAATACGAACACTGTATTTAGATTTCCTAAACATTTTGAAGCAGGAAATTGGTAAAAGAGCGTGAAGCGCAGAATTACTTTACCTACTGGAAGTTTTGTTTGTAAGTTAATCTTGCTTCATGCTTTGCTCTCTCACCTTGTTTAATGCGCACGCAAATGCGACATTGGCCGAGTTTTCATCCATCAAGGCTCAGGCTACTATTCGATCCGATCCGCTCTGCCCTGCCTTTGCCTTTCCAAAAGATCAATGTTTTTGGCTGGAATTTCACCGTTAGTAATTTCGAAAACAATTGAAATTTTACTTTCGCCAGTAAGGTAAGAGTATACTTGAATGATGATACACTATTGGCAGATAACTATTGTTCTTTGCTATACATTTAAACGTTTAAATTTCGTTTAATCGTAAAAAAAGAAATTGAAGAATGAAATTCAAAGTAATTAATTTTTATGCAATGACACACATTTTTAAAACGATATACCTTAAATAAACTTTTTAAATGCCATTAACACGCAAGACTCGAGCTCACTTTGAGCTCGTTTGGCAAGAAATTAACATTTCGCTAAATGTTAATTAATTGCCCTCCAATAAAACCGCAGGACATGTGATTTTTACACAAATATTTCTTGCGTTGTGCCAAAAATGGCAAGTTCAATAAAATGTTGGGTGAAAAATGCAGTTTTTATGCAAATTACTAATCAGAACTAGTTCATATCGCACAAATCTCTCCCAATGCGATCTAATCAAGTAGGTGTGGAATTGTACAGTTTCTGAATATTTTATATACTTTATACTCCATTTACTGATGAAATCATTGAAACTTATATAATAAATTGTTATCGAAGGTTTCCCAAATTTCAAACTACAATGTTAGTAGTGGTATTAAGCTCAAATTACCTCTTTTAATAATTGTAAACGGTTGACCTCTTGGCGCTGATTCTATCCGGCGAACGTATCATGGCAAATCAATTAATAGTCGGGCGGCTTTCGGTCGTAAAATCTGAACACCATTAATAAATTCAATATTTACAGTCGTGACATGGACAATGGCAAAGTTCGTCGTATTCCAGTGGCAAGGTCTCTGGGGCAATTCGTGTCAAAGTGTAAACAACAAAATAATAAAATATTATTCTACTTTAAAGTAGTAGTTTAAAATGGATGATGGAATATTGTTTTGCAGCAAATGCACGTTCTGTAAGAATTGGATTCATTAAATTGTGTTTTCGAATTTTGGAAGTAGATTGAAATCGAAACCGCGTTTAACGAAGCAGCACATCACTCGCGCACAATTGAAGGAGAAATATTACGTAATAAGTCAATGAAAAATTAAGAAACTCAAATTATTGTGAAGAAAATGTACGTGCAGATCACCTGCCGACAAAAATGAAACTAATGTGGCACGCAAGCAAACCGCGTGGCGATAGCACAAAAATTGTAAGAGATAAGAAAACTTGTTTGTTTGTAAACACTGATACTCTCAGTGTGGCAATGCAGAAGATGAGAAGAATTGTACCCGTATTATGCATGAAACATTTAATTTCGATTAAATTAAATGAATAAATAAATAAATAAATCAAAAACTTTAAGGATTGAGGCTTTATTGGCATGTTAAATACCAATTTTGTCATTAAAATTACATATAGGGTCTAAACGGTCAATGATACGATAATAATTACTTAAATAGTCGATTAAGAATTAAATTCTCTTACAAAATTCAGAAACAGAATAGAAAAATTCAAATTATTTCAAGAGATGCATTGGCTGAAAAAAGATTTCGTCATAAAAAAGGCAAAAGATTTCTCTTTTTTATGTTTGAAATTAAAAGTTAGAATTTTTAAATTCTGTTATCGGATTCTGATAGATAATTTAATTCTACATCGATTATTTTAGTAACTTTTTTTGCTATCATTAACCGTTTAGGCTCAATTTACAATTTTTGTGAGAACAGCATTCGATATAAAAAAGAGAAATCTGTTGCCTTTTTTATAACAAAATCTTTTCTTTGAAATTTTTTATGCAATTTTTGTTGTTTTTCAAGAAATATGCCATCATGTAGAGATTTTTTCAAGGATCAAGAATATGAAGACAGTTTATTCGTAGCCCTTTTGTTCTTGAGATAATCGCCAATAAAGCTCGACTCTGTTCTTCGACCGAAAATATTTTAACAAGAAAATTCGAGCCTGTTCTTCGACCGAAAAAATTTTATGAAAAAGTTTGACCCTGCTTTTCGATCGAAAAAATTTTAAGAAACAAAGTTTGACCCAGCTCTTCGACCAAAAAAATTTAATAAAAAAGTTCGACCCTGTTCTTCGACAGAAAAAAATTTAAAAAACAAAGTTCGACCTTGTTCTTCGACCGAAAAATTTTTATGAAAAAGTTCGACCCTGTTCTTCGACCGAAAAAATTTTAACAAAAAAGTTCGACCCTGTTATTCGACCAAAAAATGAAATTTATTGGACAAAAATAGCAATATTTGGAAGGTATTTTAAGGCACTTCTAAATGGTTTATAGGGTTAAAAAGGTATGCATTGTGTAGAGGGTCTCTCGAACTTTAACATGGCGTGGAGAAACTTCAAGAAAATCAATTAGTTCACGAGATACAGGGTGTTTTCCACACTATGTTTTCAAATTTTCCTAAAATCACTCATTTTTGAAGCGCATTTTAGGGCACTTCTGGAAGGGCTGGGAGATTGGAAAGGTACGCATCGTATAGAGGAACTTTCTAACTCTATTCTGGCGTAGAGAAACTCTAAGAAAGTTAATTGATTCACTAGATATAGGGTGTTTTCCACACTATGTTTTTAAATTTTTCTAAACTTGCTCATTTTTGAGGGGTATTTTACGGCACTTTCGGAAGGGCTGGAAGATTGAAATGGTATGCATCATGTAGAGAAACTTCTTTACTCTATTCTGGCGTAAAGAAACTCTAAGCAAGTCTATTAGTTCAAGAGATATAGGGTGTTTTCCACACTATGTTTTTAAATTGTTGTAAAATTGCTCATTTTTGAAGGGCATTTTACGGCACTTCTGTAAGGGCTGGAAGGTTGGAATGGTATGCATCGTGAAGAGGAACTTCTTGACTCTATCCTGGTGGTGAGAAACTCTACGAAAGTCACTTAGTTCACAAGATACAGAGTGTTTTCCACACCACGTATTTAAATTTTTCTAAAATTGCTCATTCAACGGGCCACAGCTACCTTGGCACAAATAACTACCCTTTAAAGTTTATAATTGCTTTGAAGGCACATTTTCTTTATTAAATAAAATTCGCTGGAATACTTGAATACAATTAATTGATCATATTGCTCTATCAATAGTTTTCACAAAGACTGGTGTTAGATATTCGTATACTGTCTAAAGTTGCCAAGTATTACCAAAAAGTATCACATGTGATACATCAATCACAGAGGTAAGTAACTTTAGCATATTCCATTGACTTACTAGGTTTATTTTGAATATATAGTAGGAGGTTTACCTGGCATAATATAATCGACAATTTCACCAACTTCTGGATTTAAATTAGTAACTTCAACTGGAATATGATTACCTGTGGCCAATGGTTCAACGTCAATAACACTTACGTCAACATCTTTATTGTATTCTGGCTGCATTAGCAATTCATTCTCTGGGATGGCATCACTATCCTCATGGTGACTGTAATCATCTGCAATCTTAAGAGCCTCATTATCATAGTCTTCTTGGTCAGTATTATTGTAAAATTGTAGTGAACCAATTTGATGCAGTAGACCTTGGTTATCACTTGTTGAATCTTGTATATGCTGATCAAGTTCAGATACGTCTATAAACGTTGTATCTTTATTAATCATTATAGTATTCCCAGGTTCTTGATCTAAATCATTGTCAATATTTCCTCCTAGTGCAGGTTCTTCTGTATTCAATTCGTGCAAACCATGAGGATTACGATTCTGCGATTGGAAGTGCAGCAATAAATTAATACCAGTTTGGATAGATGGATCAACAGTTGCGTCCTGATAATTTTCATCTCTGTAATATGGATTGTCATGATAATTATCATGTTCATTTCTGGTAAATCCATCCAGGGCATCCTCATTTTCAAAATTCGGTGATAATTCTTCATTATCTAGAACCCTTAGATTAGTGGATGATGTTCTAGTCAGTTCTTCACTTCCTATCTGCCTTGAAATGTCGCCATCCATAATATCAAATCGAATCGGATCCTCGTCATAGTTTGACACCTGCACATACTCCCCATCTGGGGTTTTGTACATTATTTGCAAGCTTTCCTCCATTTCTCTAGGGAAAACCTCTTCTATTTCGTCGATTGGTTTCTCGCCAGTGTATCCCATGCTAAACATGTCCATGCTTCTTTCATCTGAGTCAATTATCGGTGCATTGAGATCGTTGAAACTTGCCACTTGTAGTGGATGTGACTGTAATTCAGCCATGAATTCTTCCGAGCCTAAATATAGTACAAAATGAATTTAAAATAGAAAATTCAATGGGTGTGTATCAAAACAGAAAACTTACCATTCACTTGGTAGTCAGAAGTACCTTCAGCATGCAATTTATTTTTTGGTTGCCCAGAAATTGGAGAATAAGAGGAAGCATAAGGACTGGAGTACTTGGGTTTCTGGTTTATGAAAATTGGTGGTGGATAATAAATAACCTCATCTAAAAACAAGTTTCAACATCAATATAGTTCCGTGTAAACTCTTTATAACTCAAAAGAGTATGAAAATCCTTCTATTGTACAGAATTTTCATTGTTGCATGGTAGAGTTGAATTAATCCAGTCAATAATCATGTATTGTTACCTCCATCAGGGGCTTCTGGTGCAATAGCTTGCAACCCTCGAACTTGAAACAGTTTTGCAGCTGCAACAATATACTTAACATTTTCTTCAGCAATAGAAGTCTCTCCACAATACATAAACTCAATAATGCTTTTTAATGTGCAAAAATCCATTCCATTGACAATAATTTGTTCAGTATCTTGATTATTCTCTAGTTGTTCCTTACAAAGAATCGAATATTAATAACACATAGTAAAAGTTTGAATAAGATTAATACTCACTCTAAAATAAGGACTATTTGAGGCCAAAATAACTTTATGTGCATGCAAGGTTTGATTGCCACAACGAATTGCAATATCAACTAAACTTTGATGTTCCATAAGAGTGCAAAGCACCGTAGCCATGAATGAAGAATGATCATCGTATTGCACAACAAGACGCGGTTTATTACTTAATGTATCCTTATGGCCCATTACACTTTTTATTCTGGAAGTTTCACACTATGAATGCTATTATGAATTGATGATTTCAAACTATATACGAGAGGTTAAATGTGTATTATATGTAATAACAGTTGAGTTTGTTTTTGTTTGTTTGTTTTCCACAGCTTGCTTTGAATTGTTGATGGTTAAGATTGAATTGTAATGATAGTTGCCTATAATACATACCCATAACATAATTTATTTCAATGTAAGGTGTAACGCAAGTTGACTATAGCAAAAGTTAAAATATTTAAATATTTATATCAATACAATATGAAATGATTAAATATCGTAGGGGAAAAGGGCAAAAAACGCGACTAAAAGTGATAAAAAATGACTTTAATTTTTGTCCATTTTATTCAATCGCAAATATCTCGTAAACTAAAAGAGATAATTAAGATCTGATCGCAGCGTCTTAATGTACGGACCAATCTCTATCAGATACGATAGTTAAAAGGGAAATCTGAGAGATAAAATTTTTACTCTTAAGAAAAAAATGACCAAGGGGGGGTGCTTGATACTTTTTTTCGACGATTTTTGAAAATTCATATCTCTTAAACTAAAAGCCACAGCAACCAACAAATTATTGATTATGATAGATTGGAAAATTCTGTATCAGATAAAAATATAAAATAATTATATTACCTACAGTAAAAGGTCGAAAAACGCGAGTAAAAGTGCTAAAAAGTGACATTTTTCAATTTTTGCCCATTTTAGATGACACTAGCATGACCTAAAAATCATAAAATGGACTTGTTTATTTCAATATTTATCAGCAAACGTGGTCATTCGACAGGAGAATTGTCTTCGTTTTGATTTTTATTGCCGTGCGAATAGTAACGTCCGAAATTGCCGTGTGTTGTCGCTGTCATCCTCGCACGCCTCGCTCTGCTGCTGGTGTTAGTTTAAATCGCATGTTTTGTCTATTGCAATTTGTGCACAAGGTTGCGGTCGCGACCTGGTTTGCTGAGCGGAAGCACAACATGCACTATTTTAATACTTTGTCTTATAGAGAATTTCCCGTAGATTTATAATTTTCAATACGTTTCTCAATACCGGTTTTAATTTTCGTAATTAGTGATATTTGCAATCAACCATTACTCCGAAAAAAATGAAAATGTCCACTTTTTCACACTTTGTAACGACTTCTGAATCTTCATATCACAAATTTTAATTATTTTCTAATCTTATATAATAAAGAATTTTCCAAACTTTTATAATCTTCAATTTGTTGGTCGTTATCTTTTTTAGTTTAGAAGATATTGGTTGATTGGGAATCACTTCTACCGCTACCCCCGTACGCTGCCCTGAATTAGAGTCACTTCTACCGCTAGCCGCGTAAGGTGCCCTGAACCGAGTCACTTCTACCGCTACACTCGTACGGTGGCCTGAACACGAGTCACTTCTACCGCTAGCCTCGTAAGGTGCCCTGAACCGAGTCACTTCTACCGCTAGCCTCGTAAGGTGCCCTGAATCGAGTTACTTCTACCGCTAGCCTCGTAAGGTATCCTGAATCGAGTCACTTCTACCGCTAGCCTCGTAAGGTGCCCTGAATGCGAGTCACTTCTACCGCTACCTACGTAAAGTGCTCTGATTGGGAGTCACTTCTACCGCTACCTTCGAACGGGGCCCAGAATGGGACTCACTACTACCGCTATATATAAACTGGTATATGATAAATTCAATATATGCGTTTTGTCGGTAGTTGCCTAGGTGATTGAGATAAACATTTATTGTACATACAAACACAGTATTATGCGGAATTTTATCTTATCTAAATTTTAATCTAATCCAATATCAAGTTCCAATAACTGAATTAATATAAATCCAAAAATCCCACAAACCTATTGTGGTTTACTCAGTTCGCACGTATAATTTAAAAGCAGTAATTTATAATTGTATATTTTCTACCATAAAATGGATACAACAGAAAGCAAAGACATTAAAGTCCTGACAATGCGGGAAAGATTGGAACTGTGTGCACCGTTTAATTTATTTTTTACTACGATTCCCGAGGAGCCTAAGACAACTGGATATAATTGTATTGCATTTCCAGGTATTCTGTATTTGTATTTACGTTGTACACTTATTTTATTAATAATAAATATATTTAGATTTAATTTGTCCAAGTCTTGGAATCTTGGAAAAGTCCTTACAAATCAATTTTATGCTTGATATCGACTGGTTAATTGATCAATATGAAGTTCATAACTTACAGTAAGTTACAAATTTCATAAATTTATAACTGGAGTAAATCATCCACTTTCCAGTACAACACCCATTACAGTTATTTGGGGGCGGGAACTTGTGGAAGATATGAGCGAATACATATCGGAAACATATCCAAATGTAAAGACGCATAAAGTGACAATGGAAAATCCATTTGGACTTCACCATTCGTAAGATGAATAACTGAATTATTGTTAAATTATTGCATTCATTTTTTTGTGCAGAAAAATTGGAATTTATAAATTTGGTGATGACACAATAAGAATTGTCATTTCTTCGGCCAACTTATACTTTCAAGATTGGAATCGTTACAATCAAGGACTTTGGATGAGTCCTCCCTTGCCCAAAATGGCCGCGTCCAAGCACGATTTTGATTGCGCTGGACCCACCGACTTCAAAATTGATTTATTAACTTATTTGGAGTCATACAACATTAATGTCCTAACTGAATGGATTCAATTAATTAAACGTGCTGATTTTTCTTCAGTAAAGTAAATAAAGAGGATTTACTACTATAATATATTTAAACTAATTATTTTTTACTTATAGGGTGTATTTCATCTGTTCAATTCCTGGAAATCATCACCCAGGAAGCAAAAGCAGTCATTTTCATCGCGTAGGTGATATATTGAGCAAACAATGCTCCCTGCCCAGCGAAACAGGACATGACCCTGAAGGTGCTCTCTCATGGGGTATAATTGCGCAAGCATCCAGTCTTGGGCTGTTTGGAGATAATTTAGGCCACTGGTTAGAGCCTATTTTAATGCGGGCACTCTCAAGCCACCAAGCTTCACCTTATAACAAACGAGCGCCACGAAATCCAACTTTGAGCTTGATCTACCCCACAGATCAAAACGTTGAAAACAGTATTTTTGGTCGGAGTGGTGGTTGCTGTCTTCCATATAAAATGAATATCAATGAAAAACAAGAATGGCTTAGAGATTATCTTCAGTACGTTTTTGATTTAAATTGTTTACACTCTCAGTTAAATGTTATGATTTTAGTGTATGGAAAGCTGATAACACTGGAAGGTCAGAGGTAATGCCTCACATTAAAAGTTACATGAGAGTTTCGCCATGTTTAACAAAATTAGCGTGGTGTTTGATTACCAGCGGCAATATATCAAAAGCGGCTTGGGGCTGTTATCCAAATCGGTATGGTGGATCGTATATTCGATCGTATGAAGCAGGCGTAATGTTTTTGCCTCATATGTTTGATGACGACAAATCAAAGCAGTCAATATATCTTACTATTTCTTTATTAACAATAGAATACAAGTTTAGATTTTACATGTCAACAAAATACATGCCGCCATATTGACACAGAACTTACGACCTGCATCGTCGCGCATATATAAGCAAGTAACACGTCAAAATGTTCTATCGGGATAAAGAAATTAGCAAATTGTCCATTTTCTAGGTGATGGAAAATGGAAACAAATATACAGGGTGTTACAAAAGAAAAAATTTAAGTGCAGACAGGAAAACATTTAAACACTCGCTCGTTTTTCACCATTACTCTGGGAAACAAATATACAAAGCGTTTCAAAAAGAAAATTCAAAGTGCAAAGAGGAAAATGCTAAAAACATCCGTTGAAGCAAAATATTCACGGACATGAAGCAAAATGAATATACAGGATGTACTAGAAGGAAAATCCTAAGTTCGAAACAAAGAACATACAAAATTCACAAATAAAAACAATCTTCTACGTGGTGCTAGGAAAACTAATATACAGGGTGTTACAAACAAAAAACATTTGCAAGTACAAAGATAATCAATATTCACTTACATTTTAATATATTGTGAATATGTATTTGTTATTTGATGGTAGCATCAACTGTATAAGATAACCGACAGGTGCAGCATCATCATAAATTAATAGAATATTCGGCGGAAAACATCTAAATCAACAGACGGCAAGCGACGGCGCGTAGCAATACAGTCGGTAAATAGGACAAAAATAACTATTTCTTTGTACATATTAAGATATACGCAAACTACAAAAACGAAAAACTACTCATCGTACAAGATTTTATTAGGTCAACAAGAAACTTCTTAATTTAATGATGCTATCGAGTGCAATTCGATTAAATTGTTCCCGTGTTCAGCGAAAAGATGACCGAGCCGACGGCCGACGGCATAGTGAGCGCGGTCGACCACATGAATATTGTCATTTTAATAATCCGCAGATAATTTTTAAAACCGGCTTTGTAATAATTAAATCATGCACGTTATTTTCCGAAACGCGATTAAGAATTCTGATAAAACTGCTACCACGTGTTTGTAATTTGCAAGATGTTACATGCAAAAATAGTATCCCTCAAATGGAATAATCAATTTAAGTTACACCGTCTTAAGTTTTCATGAAAAAAATTTATTACACACATACCTTCGCATTAATGAGGAAATTTTATATCCTGTAATATATTCTACCAACTGAAAACTCGCGCAGAGATTATTTCTTAGTTAAGAACACTCTAACCGCGACAAATCATTAAACAAAACCGCCACACATGCCCGTCCCGAATAATTTGCTGATGGCCAAAAGAATACACGTCGATTAATTCAATTAAAACATCAAAACGTGGCAATTAGAAAGACACGCTTGCAGACCACGCGGTGTAACGACTGCCGTGTGCGCTGCGCGTTGCCAGGTACAAGGCAGGTACGTTGCGTTTACGCGTCAGTCGAACAAAAAAGTTGTTTATACACAAACGTAGTAGTAGAGAATTTAATTCTACATTTCTAAACACCCCGCTCAAGTTTGTGTGCAACGACTAAAATAATCTACATATTACGAGCACGCGTGAATCAGTTGTATAAAACAAACACTCAATTACACATACCACATACCAGTATTTCACGCGGTGCAACACGCAGGCTAATGTATTTTATTTTAAATCCGGAATCGACCGTCGAAACGAATCAAATTCGCATTCTAATTTAGCTCGTGAGTCGACCATCGGAAATCAAAGGGTGATTGCTAAAACAGAGAAGAGAACGTTAGTTAGTTTATCGTAGTATTATTTAACTTCAATGGCTCACTTAACACACACTTTTTTGCAAAGGTTACTTCACACTTTATATGTGTGTAGAACAATAAAATATTGCTTATTTCTATTTCAGTGCAACAGTGATACATTAATAACACTGCACATATGAAAATTGAAATAAATAATTATATAAGTTATTACATTAATTTAATAAAAATAAAAGTAAACTTTTATTTACTTATGTTTTATTTACTATACTTCGTGTACTATATGTTAGGTTTAATTGTGTCAACCTGCCAAGGCTTAGTTAACGCATTTGTGGTGTGTAAAGCGCACTTTACACTTCATAAAACAAGTTTAAATGGCAGTAAAGTTATATTTATTTGTATGTTAGTGTTACAGGGTTATAATTGTAACCCTACACCTTTTAAAATAGAAATAAATAATTTTATAAATGATTTCGTTAACTTAATAACAACAAAAATGAAATTTGTGTTATTATACTTTTTATCTTATACTTTTTAACTTCCGAGGCGTAGTTAACACAAACGTAGTATGTAAAGGTTACTGTACACTTTATATTGATGTAGGATAGTAACAAATTATTTATTTTCACTTCTTTCAATATAATTTTCAATATAACTTTTTGAAAATTCATATCTCTTAAACTAAAAGCCACAGCAACCAACAAATTACTGATTATGATAGATTGGAAAATTCTGTATCAGATAAAAATATAAAATAAAAATATTTCCTTCAGTAAAAGGTCGAAAAACGCGAGTAAAAGTGCTAAAAAGTGACATTTTTCAATTTTTGCCCATTTTATTCAAACGCGAATATCTCGTAAACTAAAAGAGATAATTAAGATCTGATCGCAGCGTCTTAATGTACCGACAAATCTCTATCGATACTCTAGCAGATTATGAAAGATTGGAAATATTTTCCATTTCTGGCCTACGATGCTTCTTCGTAGTTTGCAAGTACATTAAACACCACTTTCCTTCCTTACTGCCAATCTCACCAACTACAATAGAAATATACATCTTCATATTCAGTTAAAGCTCATCATGTCCATGCTCTTCTCCATCTATACCAAAGCCTGTCCAGTCCCTCATCCTCTGTTCCGATTCGCTTTGTAATTTGCTTTGTGTCTTGCTTCTTAGCCGGCTTGTAGACTACCCCATGTGCCATTGTCTCCCAAACGCAGACGATTCGCGTTTCGTCTTGTTGATGCAGTTGGAGGTTTATTGCTTGGCTAGTGTGGTGTGGTCGGCGGCAATCGTGATATCAGAATATCGCCAGAGCCAAACCATGCAGAAACGGAAGGGTTCCGTCAGAGGACGGCCATGAATTTAGTGGCCATTCGTCTTGGTGATATACGGCTGGAGGGAGCCAACCAAAGCAAGACGACTTTATCGTTCTTCCTTTGTGCCAACATCAGAGTAAAAATCATTAAGATGTTACACATTATTAAAATAAGTTAAAGACGAATTACTTACCATTAATCAATCCCTTACCCAAAACACAATACTTTAGAGACAAATCAACATTAAATTAACTAATTTCTGTTTGTTTTGCTTGGTTTGGGTATCCGGAATAATATGTTTTTATGTCTCTAGAAATTGCTTTTTACATGGATGTAAAACGTTGGAGTTTGGATGCAAGCAAAACGAAACACGAGCACCTCTTACACATTTGCATTTTTCCGACAAACGAACCCCGTCTCGTTGAAGCTGGGCTCAAAATTTGCACCGAACTGCATGAATAGTCACTATGCACATACTCTTCTTCCATGTATATATATATACATACATATCACTGCTCCTTTATGCACCAGCAAGCAGCGCATATTTGTGTTTGCTTCGCGACGCGGACACAAGTGCTGTACATGTCGGCGACAGCCGAAAAATTTTAGTCAGAAAATATTCAGCAGTTGTAAAGCTCTCGACGACGTTTTTCAACATTAACTAATCCACTCTACAAACTGAACTCTACTAAAACTCTTTTTGACTGTTTCTAAATTAGAATACACAGTTTTTCTCATCAAATTTCAACAATAATAAGGATGAGATTCAAAATAGAACAAATATTAACTGGTAGTTCAGAAAAATTAATTTTTTTACAATTAAGAATTCCAGACACTGAGAATTCATTTAGAGTCAGTTGTGGGTGGTAAGTTTGTAGTCTTGCATTACTTATCACCACGCAATCACCCCTATACATTAATGTTAACGCATAAGTTTCATTATGCGTTCCGTTGAGAGATAATGCATTATCCTCCACAACAGTTTGGAGAATTTACAATATAACAAGTATGTCGAGCACATTCGTACCACTCGGCAAAACAAGAATAGTTATAGAAGAGGATCTATATCTAAATCGTCCTCTGGAATATGTAAACTGGTGGTTTACAAAAACTTCGTCATAATTTATGTACGAAATAATTCATTTCAATGTGCATGAAACAATTTTCATCACGAATATTTGTTTTTGTTCATTTTGTAGTTTAATTTATTAAATGAATGAAGCAATTAAACATATTATAGCAAGTCGTTTAAATTCGCGCGATTTTATCAGTGTTACGCTTCAGTAATATCCGTACAAAGTGTTCTTCGGCTTTAATAAATAAAAAAACATCGCAGACGAACAGAATAAACATTAAAATGCCATTTTTAAACCGAATTTTCATTCGGTGTGTTCATCCAACGAAATATTTCTCGATTTCATCAACTTAACTCGTCTGTACTGGGAAATTTTCATTTAATAAACTGTGTTTGGTCAAACTTTTATTTTATTTTATACTTGTACGTGTTTGCTCGGTGGGAACACCCCATTGCACCCTTGGAAAGAAAAAAAAAACACGGAAATTTCAATTGCTAATATGTTTTTAGTTAAGTGCCGATTTTGCACATGGCAAAATGAGAGACAATGATGACTTCCAGCATTACAGAAAATGTAAAAAATGAGGTGGAATAGAGTAATGCTAATGAGTGGTTCTACACTCTGGCGTGTGGAATTTTTAATTCTTTCATTTCATTGCGTTTCCGTTTTGCGTTCAGCAAAATGAGGAAGAACGAGTAAATAAAGCAAGACTTTATTGCTGTTTCTCTAATCATTTTATGCTACACGTGCATGCACTTGGAGCAAAATTATTCCTGGACGATTTCAAGATTTTAATTACGTTTGATGTCTATTGGTTGAATGTTCAGGTGAAAAAATATTAAAATTTTCTTTCGTTTGATGTTATACAACGCAATAATTGAGATTTGTTTCGGGAATCTATTTGAGCAGACGAATAAGCTTCATTTAATTAACGTTATAATACAAATGAAGTCTATCTGTATAATCTTGATAAGTTAATAATTTAAAACAATGATAAAAATCATTCAACAATGTTGAAATGCGTTTGACATAACCTCACTAAACATGGCGTAGTTGTATGCTTCAATTTGATGTATTTCAATGCATTTTATGACTGTATATTTGTGTTTTTGGCAACAATAAACACTTACCTCTTGTATGTATCACGACGATTTTTCTTGAAGGTGAATAAAAGGTTGATTGGAAAGCGTAAGACGCGGCGAAGCTATCATGTGGCAGTGCACTTGGTGTAGGTAGTTCGTGTACGTTCGGCGCTAGTCGTTCCGGTGCGCAGACCGGCGACCGGCAACACGACTCTTCCCCGCGACTCTTCGGTTCCCCTTTCAGTTGTGCGCGTTGTGGTTCTAGGCGTGCGTGCGACTCTCGCTCGCGTCCGCGCCTCAAACGGCATTGAGCTCGCGTTGCGTTCGCGCGTTCCGCACCGGCGTCTCGCAGCGCGGTTCTCCCGAGTGCTTGGTGTGAGAGTGGCCGGCGGATACCGCCTGCAGGACTTCAGGAAGGCGATGGCCGGCAACAATGGTGGCAATATCGTCGCCGAGTGGCTGCGCTCGTTGCACCTCGGCCAGTACGCTGAATCCTTCATCGACAACGGCTACGACGACCTGGAGATCTGCAAGCAGGTGGGCGACCCAGACCTAGACGCTATCGGTGTCTTCAATCCGACACACCGCGCCCGCCTACTGCAGTCGGTACGCACGCTGCGCGAAGAAGGCGCCGCGAGCGTCTATTTTCGCTGGAGGAGAGTGTCGCGGTACACGAGGAGTGTTTGTGCGATAATGTGAGTGCGCGGTCGTCGCGGACCTCGTCAGGCCGGTGCTCCGAGAAGGAACAGTGCGGTGGCATTGGAGCACCCGCTGCGTCGCCGGCTGCCTCCTCGTCAGCGGACAGTGGGCCCGAGTTGGCCAAGTACGTCGATGAGTACGAAGAGGGTAAAGCCGAACTGGTCAAGATACCACGCATGCAGTTGAAGATACTTCTTCGGGACAAACTCGCTCACGATGGCATCAAGTTGACCTGTCAGCCCTACACTACTCCGGTAAGTCTTTTTTATCATCATAGACCTTCCCCTTCGGTTGTTAGCACTGTCAGCGGTGCTTAACACGTCTTTGCACGTTCGCAGACAGTCGTTAACCCTAATCAGAGTGCAGTTAATATTATTGCCGAGCGCTGTGGATGCTTACAACAAAATGTAAAAACTTGTCCAACGGACGCGCTGCGCGTGCAATGAGTTAGCTTATGTTTGCTCGATGGCCTCGCGAGTGAGAGCAAACGCCGCGGTTAAGACGATGGACATCGACGGCAGCCAAGATCTGAGACCACATGGGTTCACGTACTCTGTGATAGGTCAAAATTGTGCTTATAATTATTGCTCATTATTAAAACAACAGAATTTATGCATAAATCATCAGTTTTTTATGCTTTTGTATTGAATCAGGTGAAGAATGCGTACTGAAAGGTACCACATCCGGTTTTTACTAGGTCACGAGAAATACCAAAGACTTTGGGACCATCTATAATTGTTTATCAATATTTTCTAGTTAAGTAATCTTAATTAAGACGAAGACCCTGTTGGAATCCATAAAATCGATAATTCCGACAGAAGATTGTGGTGGTTCAGTCTGAAGTTTGGCGTCTTTAGATTGAGGTCGAGATGAAGTATGTGTTGATATTTAATTCGAGCAGCAAAGCCTAAGGAGTGCGTGTAATAGGCATCGCTTAACATGCCACGACTTAACTCTGCCTCGCTGCCACAGCAGAGGATAATCTTTGATGTGTATAATCGTTGATTTTCTATCACAGGGAACACGCGCACCAGAAGCACAAAGCCAGCGCTTGCGACTACGTTCAAAGATGCAAATTTCTCAACGTAAAGAGTTTTTGATTCGTGTGCGCTCAAGTGGAGCAATCAAAATTGGAAATTCCACCCTCAATATTCAATACGATATTCTATTAAACTTGGTTTATGTATAATTTTCAGGTGGTTCAATTGTTTAGGTGATTTTGCCATGTTAGTGGTTTTTTTTCGGCTTCATTGTCTTCGTGTGGGCCAAATAATCAGCGTTGCATAAGTTAATTTACGTATGCGCATAACTATGGCGCACCAGTTGGTGCAACGGGCCCCATACGCGTGTTTGGTGCTTCATTGTGCACCGGGCACGATGTAGACACAAGACGCTAATTTACATTTACAGCACGCTTAATCAGCGAAATGTTGGAAATTAATTAAATCTACACGGCGCGGAGCTATTTGGCGGGCGCCTCTGCGATACTCAATTATCAAATTGACAAGTTATCAAGATATTGTCAATAAAAACAAGAATACATGTTTTAGTTTATTTTTAACTTGTATATCTTTTATTTCTACTGTTTTGGAGCACAAAAAGTGGTATTTTAATCACGGGGGGTCACTAAAGTACTTTAGTCACGGGTTTTAGTCACGAGGACAAAAAAACTCTCATTTATCCACTTGAGACTTAATGTATTATTAAAATACATTTATTAATAGTTAAATTTTAAACACATGCTTACTGAAGGCCATGAAACAATCAGAAAACTACTGCTCACAGAAAATTATATCGCAAATTGATTTATGCGCATGCTCGTGTTAGGCGAAATTGTAATTTATCGCGAAACATTTACGAGCCCGACTTGAATACACCGTGCGCGCCGCGAGAAGTAAAACTAAACAATGAATGCGCAAGAAAACCATGCACACGCTACAGCACCACCACCACCCGGTCCGGTAATAAGCCGTGTCGTGTATCCTCCGTCGTCGTGCGGCGGCAGGGTCTCGAATCGTAAATTAATATTTCGCGTGCGATCGTAATTAATATTTGCGTTCGGTCGGCGCGGCGTGGAATTGCGACTCGTGTGTGTGCTGGCAAATATTTGCAGTCGGGTCGTGGTCGCAAACGAAACCAAAGGAATTGCTAGAGAAATAAATATGGCTATGTCTGGCTGGAGAGATTCATGAGTAATAACAATCAATTTGAATGCTGAATATAGCACACATGGTAAAAACTACGATTTGTCAATTGAGACATGTTTAACTGGGGCGTTTGGAGTGTTTAATAATAGTTATTATTGTCTGGAGTTTCAGATGACAATGACACAAATGATAACAGAATCATGTTTGATTTAACGTATATTTATGGTTTTTCTTGATCATGAAACAAGAAAATTTATGAATTTGTTGATATTTACATTTATTATCACACTAGCTTTAACCCGCGGCTTCGCTCGCGAATATCTAAAACAATGAAGTTGCTTCCGTACGCGTCGGTAGTCACAGAAGAAGTAACAATGAAGTAGAATGGCGGGAAGTTTAAAATGGCTGAAAGTATAGTCTATGGAAGTATAGTGTACAATCTCCATAGTGTAGTCAATTGGATTTGATGTTGACGTAGCTGTCGGTAATACAGTGTGATAATACAGTGTGATGGTACTATAGTACTTAGGTTTGAGCTTCATTGCTGGAATGCTAGATGGCGTTAAAGTAGTCAAATAGCAAGATGCAGAGGTATTATTGGCTAAAAAATTTCTTTATTTTCTTTAAAAAATAATTATTTTTATTAAATAAAAAGTAGCATATAACCATTCGGGGACCACTAAGAATATGTGTACAAATTTTCATGATGATCGGTTAAGTAGTTTTTGCGTGAAAGTGTAACAAACATCAGGACTTTCGCATTTATAATATTAGTAGGGATATTACACACGCTAACGAAGTAGTGACTTGGTTCTAATGCACACAAGGAAACAGCAGCATGACAACTCTCGCGTGTTGTGGGCTATTTCGCAGGCAGCGCTCGAAAAGAATCCGCATACGTCGCATGACCATGACGGCCAACGGTACCGAAATGCCTTCGGGTCGCCAGCGTTTCTCAGCCGACCGAACGCACGACTGGTCGCCGAGGAAGAACACAAGATGAAGAGGAAAAAGCTTACCTTGCACTCGCTTGTTTGGCGATCAACCGTGATGGCATTCAAGAGAGTATCAAGTGCGCATCGAGAACATTGCATACCACTTGAGACAGTTTATTCACAACTATAAACATAAAATATATTTTTGTGTTTATAATATAAAAAGTAGGTAGGTACACGTGTTAAATATTATTTTGTATAAAATTCCGCGCGATTAGATTGGAAAACCGAACGCAAACACGCAAACAAAACGCTTTATCAATTTCATCTCGCGCAGCCATTGCAATAATAATTGTACATTTATGTGGAAATTTTCCATCCGACGTAATGTATCAAACGCGCATTTGCATAAACCCGTTCATTTCGCGCTGAATTTCGGTCGCAAACTACATAATTATATGGAATATATAGTAAATAAACGCGCACGCGTTGTTGCCCCGAAATTCCCTGAATATTCATTCAAATTGTGAAATATGCGCAATATGAATAATGCATTTTCGAACATAATATACCTAATTAATAGACATGATCGTTTAATGCAGTTAATCAACTCGCACAGGCATCCTAAATAACAAAATATTTATTGCGCCGTTTATTTTTTAAAATTCACATTTAAATTTAATTACATTGAAGTCGTTTTATATTGGAACCTTTGGGTGAATTCATTAGATGCATATTTTGAATTATGCGTTTCACTTGCGTGGAAATTATAATAATTACAAAGAGGGCGTTTCATTTTGCTTCATCCAACTTAATGAAACGTACATCGTTTTGTTTCTTCATATAGCCGCCGGCGTGCATCTCGTGTTACATTTTTTGTTACAACTCGCTGACTTTGCAATTCTCTCCCACTTCCTCCCGACAAAGAAATGCACGCGGCAACCGGTCAAGTGGTGTCTGTGGGAATGGTTCATGCGGGGAATGTGATGGCGACAAAGATTATAGTTATCTATGTATGTCAATGTTGATAAGATCATTTGGGGTGTGTCACACTGCACACAGTGTATTTCTTTATAAACAAAACGTGATATTGTTTAATTAAGTTAATATTATTATAGTGACATCGATTGTTACTTAATTAAACAAGTTTCAAAAGAAGAAATTCTTTAAATTTTATTTAAAACTAGCTGTTGCCCCCGACTTCGTTCCGGCAGTGTTTAATAAAATTGTAATTCGTTTTTACTCTCTTGTTCTAGTCATACTCGTAGTAAGAGTCAATTCTATTAATAAGATTAGCAATTTTAATTTAAAGAAATTAATTATATAAAGTTTTGTCAATAATGCACTTCAGCGCGCCATCTCGAATTCAACTATTTAACTATAACTATGATTGAATCTCAATGTCACATTTTATTCTATAGAAAAGAGCTGTTTTGCGGATTTTCCCGGCAATTATTCGAATTTTTCTCACCTTTTAAACCTTCCCTAGACCTCCACGAATAATTCAAGACCAAAATAAGATAAATCCGTTCAGCCGTTCTCGAGTTTTAGCGAGACTAACGAACAGCAATTCATTTTTATATATATAGATTGTTACTTAAACAAGTTTCAAAAGACGATATTCTTTAAATTTCAATTAAAATTTCAAAAGTTTTGTGGCACACTGTTTGTTCACTTACCGGCCGAACTCGTGCATAATTCATACTCGTATGTTGATGTTGCTATTGCATTTTGTTGATTCAGGCCCGAATAATGACAATGCGTCTCGGGACTTGGAAGGCGTAGTAGGCATTTGCAATTGGCTAATCTAATTTGCGTCTCGCGACAAGTCAAATCGTCCCTTCGGCCCTGCGGATTTGCATAAACAAATACAGGCATGCCAACATGTGCTCGAAGTGATGGACCTGAACACTGCCAATTTACTTTAATCTACCGATTGTACAAACATTGTTAATGTTTGCAATAATAAATAGATGCGCTTTAGATGCACAAGATTTAAGCAATAAATAAATAATTTACTTTCCATTACGATTCCATTATATTCAAATTTATCATTGAATGCAGGAGTGATGGACGTAATTGATATGACGAAAGGTCAAATGCCGACGTCTTTATTAATTCAGTATTATAATAGAATTACACGTCTTGTGTTCTTCTTGTTAAATATAGAAC